AAATAACACTGCTATGAACTTTCCTATACAAATCTTTGTGTGAACATATGCTTTCATTTCTCTTGGGTGAATACCTAGACCGCTACTCTTCTGTCAGTTTGTTGTGCTGTATTTTATGTCACCAGTATTTTAAATATTTTAACTAAGCCACCAGTATATTAAATACCAACAGTGTCACCTGTGGTAGAATAGATTTCAGCAGAGCTTCCAGATTAAGACATACTAGGAAGGAGACTGACCACTTCTGAATGGTTAGCCACAGAAAGCAGTATGAATAACAGCAGGACTCTTTGATATGGTGCCAAACGATGAGCTGGTCAAGGTGGAAGGCACTCAAAATACGACTGGGGGAGAGGTGCCTCCCGAAAGAGTTGACTTTAATGATGTGGATGGAGCAACTCTATCATTACAAACCCCACAATACACTAAAATTTTAGCTTTAAGCCATTAAATTTGTAGGAAAGAAACTAAAAGAAAAAAATATTCTCTTATAGTGAGCCATATATTTACCATTTCTAGTGTTCTTCTTCATTCATTCCTTAAGTTTTCATCTATCATTTATTCCCTTCAACCCAAAAACGTATTTTATTATTTCTTGTAGTACATGTCTTCTCTGTATTGTCTAGTTTCTTTTCTTTTAGCATAGTGGTTACGAATCGGGCTGTGAACCATAAGGTCAGCGGTTCGAAACTACCAGCCGCTCCGCGGGAGAAAGATAAGGCTTTCTACTCCCGTAAAGATTTACACCCTTGGAAACCCTGTTACAGGGTCTCTATGGGTTGAACCGACTCGATGGCACTTAACAACAACAACAACATCAGCACTAAGATAAGACTGCTCTGGTATGGCACTGCAGACCCACAAAGCCACATTGGTAGCAGGAAATTTATTGCAGTGGTTTGGGATCTAAGAGGTCGCGTAAGGAAATTCTTTCATAGGAGCTCCGCAATTCCATGCAGATATTGGGGATTGTCCTACCGCTTCAGAATTCCATGGACAATATTTAGAAATTACTCAACTAACTACTGGCCTTTAAAGGAACCTTGGTAGTGTAGTGGATTATGAATTGGGCTGCTAAGCAATTATCAAGGTCAGTATTTCGAATCTACCATTCACTACGCTGGAGAAAGATGAGGCTTTCTGCTCTAGTCAAGATTTACAGTCTTAGAAACCGTATGTTGTTGAGTAGGTTGCTATTAGTCGGAACCAACTTGGTGGCACACAACCACCACTACTGTCCTTTAAATAAAAATAACTCGCGCATTAATGTGTTGTTATGTGCTGTGGAGTCAGTTCCTACTGATAGTGACCCTGTATGCGGTTTCCGAGGCTGGACATTTTTACGAGAGCAGAAAGCGGAACGGCTGGTAGTTTCGAACTGCTAATCTTAAGGTTCGCAGCCCGATTCGTAACCACTACGCTACCAATTTTCATTTGTGTTCCACAAAAGGCCGATAAAGTTTTTTCCGGAAACTTTGTCCCGCCGGGAAGTTTTTGAAAAGGGCGGCAAACACCTCCCATTCTTTTCTCTAGGGGGCGGGACGGGACTGGAAGTGAATGACATAGATTTCTACCAATTGTATGAAGCTTCCTTGTGTGGTCCCGCTTAATCGATTTCCGAATGCCCAGCCAATGAGGGCGCCTCTCTTTCAGTCAAAGGCGACCAATCGAAGAAAAAGAGAGGGAATTGGCTACCAGATGGTAAAGCTTGACCAATAGGAGTAGGCCAGCCCCGCGATTGTAGCGGAAGAGAGCTACTCTGGAAGTGGCGGTTAGTAATCTGAGGTCCGATGTATATTGGAAGATCGACTGCTGCTGCTGTGGCGGGCTAGCCAACTCGAACGCGTCCTTCAGGCTTTAGGTGAGGTGGACGCTTGGCTCAAGCCTGGCCTTGGGCCTCTGGCTTCTGGATAGGTTACCCGGCTTGACCCCGCACCATGTGGTCGGCTGAGGGCGGGCTTGGAACCCAGCAGTCTTTGGAGATTGGCCTCCATGTGAAGCCCAAACAGCCGCGACTGAGGCGCCCGACTCTTTCAGTGGCGGCTGGAGCGTGCGCACGTTTGGTTGAGGGGGTGGGTGGCGTCTAAGGTTGGAACTTCGGGCGATCCGGGAAGGAGCCAAGTACCTTGCAGCCTTTTGCACGTATTTGTTGTCCTCCTCCGGAGCAACTTAATTTTATATGTTATCGAATTTTACGTCCAGCAACTGTGATGTAAATACTTTTATTAACCCTATTTTGCTTTTGACCAAATTGAACTGAGAGCTTTGGAAACCCGCCTAACGAGCCTTCGGGTAAAAAACCTCAGAGCAGGGATTTGAACAAGCCTGCCTCCGCCTCTTTGTATTTTTGCTCTTTGGGGTCCTTTTGTGGGCAGTGAATGAAATCGGAGTGACCTAACATTGTAAGGCCTAAACGTTTTGAACCTTAATTTACACGGTGTTGTTGTTAAGTGCCGTCGAGTAGGTTCCGACTCTTAGCGAGCCTGTATCGGGTTTGCAAGGAGGGCTGGTGCATTTGAATTTACACGTTACGCATAGAAATAGCGTTTCTGTAACATTTTAAGGGCAAGGCTTGGGGTGAGCAGCCAGCCAGCCCACAGTGGCTTGCTCTAGGCTCCCCTGGGTAAACCAAGGGTTGGAAAGATCATCTCCCCACACTGGGAAGCTCTGCTCCGGAAAGGCGATGTTCCATAGAACTTTCTGCGCGGCTGGAAACGTTCTATGTCACGTTGATCGGCTAGATCCATGAGTGGGGCTCTGTAGACGAAGCACTGGGCTGCTGATGGCAAGGTTGAAGGTTCAAACTCATTATCCCCCTCCTTGGAAACCCTATGCAGAGACTCGACATTACTTAACAGTATCCTTGAGCACTTAACTGTGACTGTGATCTGAGTAGTGCCGCTGGTGAGTTTGAATCAACTTGAAGGCAGTGGGTTTTGGGTTTTGTTCAGCTAATCTTTGCC